CCGGAGGACACGGGCGGCGGGACTGCGGCGCGTCTGGGCGGTCCCGCCGCCCGCGTCCTCCGGGGTGAGAAAAGCCCCGTTCGTAAGTACGGATTCGACATAAGTCAGATTCGCATAACTCGGGGACTGCCTGTATGTCTCTTATTGTCTTTTATCTATTCCTTTCCTAATGATTCCCAATATTGTGTTAGCTTTTTAGTTTTTAGACTACCACTGCACATTGAACAGATGTTTTCAGGGAACTATTATCCCCACTGATTCCAAGATCTCTTTCTTGAGTGGTAACAGCTATTTTAAACCCCATCATTTTTTTATGTATAGTTGGGATTCTATTTTTCCGAGTGCATTACTTTGCACTTAGCACTGAATGACTCCTGCCCTTGTGTTGCCCAATCACCCAATTTTGTGAGATCCCTTTGTAACTCTTTGGATTAGTCACTGTTCACCCCATTTCAAGAACATTTGTAAGTTGAACAGCAGTGGTCCAAATGCAGAAACAAACTCCATGCTCCAAAGGCAAAGCCGCAAGCAGAACAAATTCTGTTGCAGTTAAGACCTGCCTCTGGAGTCAGGGCTAGGGATGTTAATGATCGGTTATTTTATTAGTTGAGTAGTCAATGGAATTTCCATCCACTAGTCGACAGGCATGTCCGCATTTCTCCTTTGAAATGTACAAGAGCCCCTATTGAGCCATCACTGTAAGCAGAAGAAAGTTACTTTATTTCTGTAAAAGAACTTTGGGAGATCTAGTAAACAAAACAGATTATGTGAAAGAGAGTAAGGGACAAAAAGAGATAGAAAGAGTCAATTATGGACAGTGTTTCTTTCCTGGATTCACTTAACATGTTAAAGAGTTCTCTCTTAAAAACCTAAGTAAGATGCAGGCAATGACTGAAAATGCTTGTCTTTTTGTTTGTGTGTGAATTATGAAGGAATTCACTTGTAGGAGTTTTGATAAAAGAACTTTACAGACTTATCATTTTCACTTAGCAAATACTTAAGACTTTTCTTTTGATGGGAAGGGGGTTGAAAGTTTAGAATACAGTGCATACTATGATAATGAGGAATCATTAAAACATTTATTCTGTAAATTTTTATCTTCAAATTATGCAAAAGTAAAAAACAGACCACAGGTTGAACCTTTCTAATCTGGGACCGACTGGTCTGGCAACATCTATGGTTTGGCATCCTTTGGGACCCTGTGGTTGGAGCAGTGTGTGTGTGTGGGAGGGGGGACTATGGCAGCAGAATCATAGATGTTGCCAGACCAGAAAACCCCAGTAGCGGAGCCAGATTGACAGCAGGGGTCCAGCGGCCGAGGACCCAGCTGGGGTTGGGAGAGGAGCTGGTCCAAGTGCCCTTGGGTCTTCATTGACCTCCCCTAGCAAACTTCCTGGTTTGGGACCAATCAAGTACAGGGGTGCCAGACTAGGGAGGTCCAACCTGTACCTGCAGGTTAGGAGAAATGTTTTTGGTAATGTTCGGGATATTAATTATGAATTAAACAACCCTGTGTTCTTAAACTCTGTGCAAATATCAATTCTAATTTATAAAAATAAACCTTAAATATAAACACAGGGCCAAGTCCTGCTTATTTAAATGAATGTATACATAGAGTAAATCTGCTGACGACTCCAAATTATTTTGATTTACAGTACACTCATTAATTGAGCACAATTGATTAGATTTCCTAGGGGCCGAGGGGAGGGAATCAGCTAATTGTTACTGTTAAAACAGTCAAATCTAGCCTCATGATTACTGAAAATATTTCATCTCATTTTTTCTTCCAGACCCAAGAAACCATGTAATAGAGTACACATGCAAATACGTTTATCTTAACTGACTGCATTCAGTTCCTTGTGGGCCAAAATTATGGATCTTTTAAACTTGATTGGAATGGCAGTCTCAAAAGAGCAATTTTTCATGGTTACAATGGGAAAATATACACAATATAAAAGAACGTATTACATATCCAAAAACACCCATCCTTACATACCTGCAGAATGTATGTAACAATACCTGATTCATGAGAACATTTGGAGTTACTATTGTCTGTCACATTTATCTCTTGGATAAAAACACTAGATAGTCACCCAAATAAAATATAAGCCTACACTTTGCAACAATCATCCTAACTACTTAACTAAAAAGGGTAACTATGAGGATACAGTTTAGCAATAAAAAGATGGTTAGAATTAATCAACGCTGTTGCCACAATGTATGTTTAACAGGAATTTTTAAACATATTTCTAGGTAACTGAGTTTTAAAAGGCCCTACATATTGGTTTCACATGCTCCAGAGCCATGACTTCAGATGCTGTAGATAATATAATTCACCCAACAGCAGAAAGATGGGAGGTCACAGTATTTACGAGAAGTGAAAAAATGAATAAAGAGTTTCTAATAAATATTTCAATCTTATTCCAGCATGCACTTTGATAGCAATCTACAAGCCATAGCAAAACTCTTTTGTAAGGAAAAAAACGTGCCAAATTAGCTAACTTATACTCAGGGAGTGTTTTGTTGGTTTTTTTATAAAAAAAGGTATAGATAAGAATCTCTGCACTCAGACCCCACTCAATTTTTGTCATTTATTGCAATTAAAAAAAATTTACTAAAACCAAGTTTCTCCAATGACTGAGTTATAAATTTTATACAAAATATTGTTCCAAAATCTGTTATATATGAAAAAACCGCCTCCTACAGCTCCCAGAAGGGTGAGGGCCTGAAGAACATTGCAAAGGAAGGGGCTATATTTGTTTTAATTTTAGAAAGTATTTGCTTTTGAGGGTTATTGATCAGAGTGTGGTTGGTTGCTTCAATATTCAAAAGAGTATTAATATCGTTGATATTCTTAGTTAAATAATTTTTTCTTACAACAGTGATATTGTGCAATAAAGGGAAACTGTTAAATGCTTACGGCTTCCAGTCCATTCTTACATTATTTAATAAAATATATATCGGCTAATAGGGCAAGTGAGGGGAGGGGACTAGACCCATTCTGGGCACCACCAAAAATTATACAAACCTGCCGCCCCTGGCACTCACCTGTGTGGGGCAGCCACTTTGAATGCTGAGGTGGCGTTCAAAGGGACAGTGCTGCACAGCTGAGCTTGGGATCAGCCGTGTGGCACTACTGCTTTGAAGTACTCCCTGTTTCCCCCCCCCCCTTTGCTGTCTCCCTCTGATAGAGGCAGTGGGGGGTCGGGGTGATCGACTAGTCGACTATCTGATAAGCATTTGCTTATCAGATACTTGACTAGTCCAGTGTTTCTCAACAGTGGTACAGGTATCCTTAGGGTTACTCAAGGGCAGTCTGGGGAGTACATCAACACAACTGAAATTTGAAGATAACTGAATTTTTGTTTTAAGTTTTACAGCGTTTTATTATTTTTGTGCTTTTTACATCCAAAAATTTCATCGTCTGCCTGGCTACGATTAAGTTGTTTAAACAAATGTATTGCAATCGTAGAAAAAAAATTGTGTGTGTCTGAAAACTGTAAGTACTGAGGGTATTTATTTATTTATTTAGAAAAAGGGGTACTTTATTTAAAAAAAAAGTTGAGAAACACTGGACTAGTCCTTAACATCCTTAGTCAGGGCATGCAGCTTTAAACATCCCTCAAATATGAAATCCAGGGGTTCCAACGTCAAGTGAGGCTATTATTCCCCCACCCCCAGTAAATGGCACCCTTGCCTGCAGGCCAGATCCAGACCCAGCTTGCTTTGATCAGACCCATGAGATTCGAGGCTCCCCCACCTGCTACTGGAAGCCAGTACTACTAATATGCCATCTGCAGTGTCCCTATGTGTCTGGAGTGTTAGCTCCCTGCTGGGTGGGAGGTGAGCTCTGAGTCTCAGAGACCACATGAAGAAAAGTCAAGGGCTGGATCCAGCTTGCAGGCCATAGGTTCCCCATCCCTGCCTTAAACTTTATAGATTTCATGAGGAAAATAAGTATTTCTCAAATTGTGAGTCCTGATCCGAAAGGGAGTTGCAGGGTGGTCGGAAGGGGGGTTTATGATATTGCCACTTCTGTGCTGCCTTCAGAGCTGGACAACCAGAGAGTGGTTGCTGCTGACTGAGGGTCCAGCTCTGCAGAGAGCAATGAAGAAGTAAGAGTGGCAGTACTATATCATGACATCCTTACCTCCACACTACCGCTGGCAGCAGCTCTGCCTTCAAAGCTGGACTCCTGGCCAGCAGCCACCGCTGTCCGGCTGCCCAAATCTGAAGGCAGCGTTGCCAGCAGCAACAGCACAGAAGTATTGCAACCCCCTCTTACAATAACCTTGCAACCCCTGCACATCTCCTTTTTGGATCAGAATCCCTACAATTACGACACTGTGATATTTCAGATTTAAATAGCTGAAATCATGAAATTTACCAGTTTAAAAATCCTTTGACTGTGAAATTGATCAAAATGGACCATGAATTTAGTAGTGCCCTACTTGTGGTAGAAGTTAGTTGTAAAGAGGATTGGTAATTGTTTTGCAGCTTTTGTGACAAGGAGTGGTGGTAGTTCCACCCATAAGGGATGCGTGGAAGAAAGCATGTTGCTCATAGGAGCAGCAGATGCTTGTGGCTTTCTACTTGTCAGTTGTTAAAGCAATACATTCTTAGGCTTGCACAATGCGCCATGCTCTCATTTGAGCGGCTCACCTCACCCACAAGAACAAATACAATAGTACAATATCCTTAAACTGAAAAAGTATCTAGGAATTTTCTGTACAGACTGTCCTCCTTAAAAAAGAGGGGGAGGAGACTATTTAAACATGGTTTTGAAAGCAACAGAGGTGGGAGCTGAAGGGTCTGATCAAGGTAAGGAATTGAACTTCATGTGTGTCTGTGTTGGACCCTGCAGTAGCCTTTTTCTTGTTCATAATCATTTTGAAAGGTGTGAGGAGAGTGAGATGTATCTTAGAAAAGTAAGTTTTGAACTTTCTAAGCCTTGACTAACTGATCGAGCATTCTCTAATAATGTATCCACCTGTTGATATCTCTGATAAACAAAATAGATGGTGAGCAATGTACTGTATGGTGGAGTCGTGTTTATTAGGTCACCTTAATTTCTTGGATTTTTGTACAGTACATTCATTTTCCAGACTTTATTTCTTAAGGAAGCGTAATAAAAATTCCAATTAATCTACATCTCCAATGGAGTGTTAGATCATAAAAAGTCATGAAGCTTCCATTACTATTATTTGTTTAACCTTTCTATTAACCATGATGTCTAAATAGATTTAGCCATAATTGTATTCATTCTTTGGAAACTGTCTCATAATAACCAATGGCTTTCAAAGCAATTTAAGAGAGGATAAAGTTGCTTGACTAGTTTTGCACACTGAGGACTTCTTGATCTTACTTAAAAGTTAGATGTACCTCTTCCAAATACTGTTTAAAAACAAGATTTTCAGAGTTATCACACCCTGTTAAAGATGGACCTGTGTTTCTTTTGCATAGGGTTTTTATGTAATTTAAATTTTTATGTGTAGAAAAATAAGTGCTTAGCATATACACAAGCATAGGATTTTAAGCTGGTGGTCATCAATCTATACTTCAATTTCAAGTGCATTGCTGGTAAAATGTCTATTAGTTCCAGATTTAGTTCAGCAGTAGAAATCCCATTCTCCTATAACCTTTTACAAATCCAACCTAATCCTTATTTGTTTTTAAAACTCCTTGAAATGTCTGTCTATAAACACTGGGCATCAGTTCAGATTTCTTTAGCAAAGTAGCATTATATTTCCCTCCTATGTGTTCAGATTTCTTTGAATCCGTCTGATCATACTAAACTTACCCAGGAAGCAGTGTATGCCCTGATATGTCTGCAGAGCAGATTGTTTTCTCTTAGTGTCATGCTCATAGTATAATTTTAGTTATGCACCAGAGTAATCCATTGCTTCTGAGTAGCAAGGTGTCTGGATCCTGTTCTTCCTCTGTTACATTTAATTCTGCAAATGTTGCTTTGAAAGTCTAGCCACACAACAGTTCATTTTCAACTCTTGACTATGTTCCCCATTCTCTCTTAAGTCCCTGTTCTGGCTTAATCTCCATGCTTTTAAATGTTAGTGATTTTGGCATCAGTTCAATTTACTTTTAAAGATGTGCATCTTAGAATTCATTCTTAACATTTATTTTATTCTGTATCGGATGTTTTTAATTGATCCATAATAAAATTTTTCACAGATGTTTTTCTCTCTTCTGGATTTCCTACCAAAATATCTGTTTGAATGTGTGTGTTTGTGTGGGTTTTTTTTAATGGGTGTGCTTTAAATTGTATTCATTCATGTCTTTTATCTCAGCATTTATCAGCTGTTTTGATTCTGGCACTGTCATTACTCTAGTCTAGTAGTCTAGTTCATAAACAGAGTTTATTGTTGTTGAATTATCTGGAGCAGGCGTAGGCAATAATGCAACAGGGGTAGGCAATAATTTTCAAAATGCAACAAAGTATCTCTAGGTCAGACATCCAATGCACTAATACACTTGCTGTTTTCTGATTTGCATGGTCTCCAGCGACTTCTGCTTTCATCAGGACCCCTTTCCACTAGAGCTGGGAAGCCAGGTAGCCTTGGTCAAGTTCATTTCTAAGTCACATTTCATTGCACCCAGGCAATTTGCCTAATTAGCAAATTTTTATTGTATAAAATAAGAAAGTGAATATTAGATTTTTTAATCTAATTTCCATGTATATTGAAATTAAATAGTCTAACTTTTATGAATATATAGTTAGTATATTAAAGTATATTGATTGTATTTAAAGTATTCAATCTAATAACTAAAAATGTTCTCATATTTATAAATTGTATATAATTTGCTCTGTCTCTCTTAAAGAAGGTGATTAGTTCCCAATTTACATAGTGCACAGAGCAAAAAAAAAATTGTTATCTGGTTTATTGGGGTTGCACTATTTGAACTGTTGGAGTTACCTTTTGATCTATAAATGAGAAGGTCAGAGTGTAGCAAATGAGAGAGCTTCACTTTGCTGATCCAAATGATACATTTTTACTACTCTTCGATCCCATCAACTTGGAGAACATGTGCTGAATTTTCATGGGTCACATTTCAGTTCTGTTGTGCTACATTCTATTTATAGAATCACATTAGTACAAGTAGTGTGAAAGGCAATCAAATAAATCCCATTTATCAGCTTGCAGATCCAAGTCTGAGTTCAGTGCAGAGTTAGAAATCTCACCTTGTTATAGACCAGGGGTGTCCAAACTTTTTTCAAAGAGGGCCAGATTTGATGAAGTGAACATGCGTGAGGGCCGACCATTTTGCCTGACATTCTTTGAACCATTAAAATTAAATGCAAATGAACTATTTTATGCAAAGTTTATTGCAAACGGCATACTTTTCATTTCGTCACATGGATGACAAATCTAAACAGGTGTTAAATCACTCTGCCTTTCATATCTGAAGGCCAGATGAAAAAAAAAATCCAGGAAGCTGAAATATATGTCAGGAACATTGTAAAGTACATTACATATTATTGGTAATAAAGGTTGTCTGTCAACTTTTAAGTTCAAAAAATATGAACAGGAACATAACACCAAGTATACATGTTGTGTCCAAATATATTTATAACTGATTTAGACCAACTGACTTTAACTGAGATTTTACAATGTATTCATCTCAATACATATGGATTCGTTGGGGGCCATAAAAGATAGATATTGCCAAATTACCCGTGGGGCCATATTAAACCGGAACACGGGCCGCAACTGGCCCGCGGGCCGGACTTTGGACATGCCTGTTATAGACTCTATAATATAGAGTACTATCCAAGCCAAAATTTGACCTGGAATCTGTAGAAATGTGACAACCGTGGAACCCTAAGTGGCCATTCTACAATATCACTTCAAGAGTATCTCTTAAGTCACAAATAGAAAAAGACTACTGCACACATTTCAAAGTATATACCGTAACACCTTGCCACTAATCTTGTTTTCTTATTGTGAAGCTTCAGTTTGAATAATCATGTTTCAGAAGACCACTTGAAACCACTGTAACCATACTACTAAATCCCTTTTGTAAAAACCATGCACCATATTTATACTTGAGGTTCAGACTTTTGACTGATACATATTTATACTTTTAACTGCCAAGAGATATAGGAGAGTTACAACACTTATATGGGTTAGGGATATAAAAAGTCATTTAAATAAGAAACCATTCAACTGCTAAAAATCCTAACAGGCTATGTCTAGACTATGCTCTATTTTCGAAAGAGGATATGCAATTTCTGATCTTGCTTTTGAAAGTGGAGTTTTTGAAAGTGAAAGTAGTCTGGACGTGATTTTTTGGGGGCGGTTTCTTTGGGGGGAACCCCTTTTAAAAAAACACTCTTCCTTAAAAAAGGAGATTTACAGGGTTTTTTCGAAAAAGGGTTTTTTTCCCCAAAAAATAATGCATCCAGCTCACTTTCAAAAGCAGAGCTTTTGAAAGTGAAAGTAAATTCCCACAGAATTTGCATATCCTCTCTTGAAAATAGAGCATAGTTTAGACATACCCTATGCATATTGCAGACTCTGAAGTATAAAGCTTAAATTAAGAGCCTGCAGTGAAGCCTTCCTGGGAGCAAGGGCTGCCAGCTCTGCTTTCAGGGAGGCTTTGCTGCTGGCTCCCTGGGAGTGGGGCTGGCAGCTCGTGCTGGCCCAGCTCCCACGGAGCCAGCATGTTACCTGCAGCTGGGGATCAAGTGGACCTGTCACAGACAGGGGCTGCTCCAGCCAGCTTGTGAGACCCTGGGCAGGAGCTGGTGGGTAGGGACCTGCTCCAGCCCCTACTGGATAACTATTTACACCCCTAGTATGGGTCAGCAGGGAACTAGATCAAAATCTTATTTTCCCAACCCATTCAGTCACTCAATATGTAAAATACATTTTTGGGGTAAATAAACCACGTTGTCTGTCTTTTTATTCATAATTATTATGACTAAAATGCTTTTAACTCTTTTGTGTAGCATGTAACTTAAATATCTTGTGTTTCAGTGCCTACATGCTGCTCTGCTCGCTACAATTTAGCATTATTGGCCTTTTTTGGATTCTTCCTGCTTTATGCATTACGTGTGAATCTAAGCGTTGCTCTTGTAGACATGGTAGAGCCTGATTCAAGTTTAACAAAGAATACAACTTCCCAGGTGTGTCCAGAACATTCTTCTACCCTAAACATCCCTCGGAATACAACGGTAGGCTTAAATATATATTTTCTAAAATATGAGACATTATTTTCAACAGCATGTTGCAACTGAGTTTGATGTTTCTAGAGGAGGGAGGCACAGTTTCATTTTTGTATTTTTTACCGTCAGGCCTTCTCAAATATAGATTGGGTCTGTTAGAGCTATTCTGAGATCTAAGATGTTTAGATGAACAGTGTTCTGCTGTCCTAAAGGACAAGACTATTACATCCTTCTAAAATATACTTTGCAGAATGGCTACACTGACCTTGTAGGTTTAATATGACTCACTCTGCATAGTGTGTGAGAAGAGGACATTCTCTATTGTTGTATCTGCATCAGATCAATTGAGAACTCATTGTCTCTGCCATATTATGAAGCTGCATCTGTTTTTTCATAGTCTTCACTTTCTGTGAAATGTTGTTTATATCTTTACTGCATGCATAATCTTTATTTCCTCGCTCACAGTTCTGGCTGGTTCTTCGTAGCTATCCTGTTTCTTTCCTTCCCTCTCTCTGACCTTTGAAACTACTCTCCCTGATCTATTTCTAATAGACTTTGACTTTGTTTCTATTCTCCCTGAAACACCTGTTTGCCAAGCCATCTCTCTCCCCTGAAGCTCTTCCTTGAAACTTTGTCATTTCCTATGAAAAATGAATTGATTATTTTAAAAAAAAAAAAAAAAAAAAGTTGAGAGCCCGGAAGATGTATGCATGTCTTAACTGGCAACTGTGCATCTAATTAGGGTAAAACTCATCCTGACTTTCCTTTTTCACCTTTTTAGCTCATTTAGGACTTGCTTGTTGAGTCTAATCTGAATTTAGACCAGAAGCTACTTGGGACAGGCACCAGATCCCTCCTTGTTTCTGTGAAGTGCCTGACAATGCACCTGGATGCTCAGAATTAATTAATGCTGATGCAGAACTTTTATCTCTGATGTTCTCCAAAACCACTTTCTCTACTGTGCCCTTCCCATCTCTTACATTTCTACCTATAAACTTCACAACTTTGGTCTCTGCTTTTACCTGTCCTCCAGTCTTCTGTTAAGATTATCTTCCCATTTCTGCTACACTAATCTCCTCACAGCAGTGCATTTTTCTCTTTTCTTGAATGTTATCACAACATTCTTCCCTGAAACTTTGTTACTCCCATATACAACTGTCTGCTTTCCATATGCTGCCTTTCCTGCCCCCTTTAATCTTTTTGTCTCACCTCTACTTTCTCTTTCTTCTGTGTCTTTGCATTATGGCTTGAAGCAGGCTATGCCTGTTCCAAAAAATGTCTGCCTAAATAAAGGCTAAGTGAGTAAAATCCAAGATGAAAGGTATAGAGACTCTCATGGACCAAAACTTAATTATATTCTTTATCTGATGTAAAGTATTGTACAATGTAGAAAGAGTGCTAGTTAAGCTCTTTTTTTTTTTCTTTTTTTTTCCTCCTTCAGGGGAAAAAGTATTCTTGGGATGCAGATACTCAAGGATGGATCCTTGGTTCTTTTTTCTATGGCTACATCATTACTCAGATTCCTGGTGGATATCTTGCACGTAAAATAGGAGGGAAGCTGCTGCTGGGGTGTGGCATCCTGAGTACCGCTGTCTTCACTCTGTTCACCCCCTTAGCAGCAGACCTGGGGGTTGGATACTTGATAGCAGTCAGAGCCTTGGAGGGGCTTGGAGAGGTAATGGTGTTCATTGTCTTGGAACAATGGTCTCTAACCCTTTTAAGCATGAGATAACTTTTTGAATTTGTGCAATCCAAACCCAAATACCCTTGCCCTGCCACCTTCCAGTCCTGCCCCTGCTCCACCCGTTCTCTGAGGCCTCACTCTGCTCAGTCATCCCCCTTTCATCAAGCTGAGGTAGAGGTTCGGGTGCACACTCTGGTCTTGGGCCAAGTAGTTTAGAGTGTAGGAGGGGCTCTAGGCTTAGCCCAGGGTGGGTGACTGGGGTTCAGGAGGCGATTCAGGGTGCAAGCTCTGGGAAGGAGTTTGGGTGCAGGGGGACTCAGGTCTGGGGCAGGAGGTATAAGGCAAGGGGTTGGGGTACAGGAGGGGGCTCATGACTGGGGTAGAGTTTCAGGATGTGGGTTCCAACTGAGCACTGCTTACCTCAGGTGGCTCGTGGGTGGTGGTGCAGTGGGGATAAGGCAGGCTTGCCCTGGCCCTGCACCACTCCTAAAAGCAGACAGCAAACTCCATCCCAAATCCTGTGGTGTCCCTTCTCTGCTCTTTGGAAATAGGATACAGAGTGGGAGGGGGCACCTTGACATCAGCACCCGCCTCTTCCTCCCCTGCCTTGCACAGAAAGCAGGAGGCTTCTGAGGGGACAGTTCCAAGGCAAAGGACAGGAGATGCACAACGGTGGGGGGAGGGGAAGCCGAAGTGCCCACACTCGATGCTTCTTTGCTAAACTAGGGCTGTAAGCTACTAGTCAACTACCCGATAAGCCTAGTCACTTCCTTTCTCCCACCACCGGCAGCTCTGTATCAGAGGCACCAAGTGTGGGGGAGCAGAAGCCAGTGCTGTGAGGAACTGGTTTAAAAGCGCCCTCTCCACAGGATGATGCAGCAGGGGAGGCAGAGGCACAGCAGGGGAAATGGCACAAGGGGGACCTGATTGCTACGCCTCTCCCTTTGAATGTACAAGAGCCACCCGCAGCTCTTGTACTTTTCAAAGGGAGAGGCACAGCACCTCTGCCGTTGAAATATACAAGAGCCATGGAAATTCCATCAACTACTCGATTAGCTGATTAATCAAAATTTAACATCCCTAGGCCAAACTGGTTAGTATCACCCATCAGAGGCTGCAAGTAGATCAGTAGATCCAGATCTATTAGCTGGTTACCACTGCCTTAGAATGTGAAAATACCCTTTCAGAATCTGTCTACAATAACTGAGTCTTATGAAGAACATTGTCATTGATAACTAGAGGGCCACATTTTTGTGGAGAGCCATCATTCTGATGTGTGAAGGGAGGAATATCAATAAACTGCTTAATTTTACTTCTACTTTCATTGAACAACTTTTTTAAAAATCCTCCCTCCTATTAATTTACAATCACCTGCATAGTTGGGGTGAGGAATGGGTCTCATCTTGTATTAACTCTTAATCAAAATTAAAATAATTCCCTGTATCAAAATAGTTTTGTTTTTCTAGCACAGCAGTTCTTAAACTGTGGGTCAGGATCCCAAAGTGAGTTACAGGGGTTGCATTCCTGTTTTAATGGGGTCACCAGGGCTAGCATTAGCCTTGCCTGGGGCTGAGGCTGAAATCTCCAGCCCTACTGCCTAGAACTAAAGCCCAAAAGCTTCAAGTTACAGGTCCCCTACCAACAGCTGAAGATTTTAGGATTTGGCTTTCCTCTCTTCCTCTTTCTTGTCTTCTACCCCACCCCCAACACCCAAGGTGGCTAGGTTTGGGTGGGCTTAGGCTTCAGTCCCCCCTTCTGGGGTTCCTTATTTATTTTTGTTATCAGAAGGGGTATTGATCTAATGAAATTTGATAATTCCTGTTCTAGCATATGAGAAAACAAGAATTAAAAAGAGGGTTTTTTTTGTACTTTTGCATCCTCATTATGCACAAGGCATTTTCACAAGCAAAAGATTAATTCTGCCTAACTGTCTATTTGCATTTTTTGTCGAATAGCTTCTTGTTGATTCATGAGACTAATAGGTTGTGCTGATGTTCTGAAGTATATGGTTTAATTGAGACATGAACGTTTGAATAAATAAATCTGGAATTACCATATATTGAACAGAATAAAAAATTGTTTTCTAGGGGGTTACGTTTCCTGCTATGCATGCCATGTGGTCATCTTGGGCTCCACCGCTGGAACGCAGCAAGCTCCTTAGCATTTCATATGCAGGTGAAAGAGAATGAAATGTTCAGATTGATAATAGGATTATACATTTTTAGTTTATCAACAATTTTTAAAACTATTCCCTTATCTAGTTAAAAACATAATTTACCCTCATTACGAGGTATGCTATTTTTGTGCTGTTTCAGTTCTCTTCAGGATAATGATTTAAGAAAATAGCCTATAACAATAAGATGAACGCTCCTTGCTGTCTGCTCCACACATGAAAACACAGTGCAGTACAACTTGTTTTTGTGGTCCTAAATAGGGATGTAAATCCCATTTAATTGGTTAACTGATTAAACATCTTGTTTAATGCCCCAAAGGGTGCCCCACAGGTAGGGCCTGCCGCAGATGGGACCTGCTCCAGCCCAACTAAAGCAGCCCCTGTCCATGGTGGGCCACTACGAAGCTGGTCAGCCTCTTGCCCCCTTAACTGGTAAAAATTCACATTTCTAGTCCTTACATACTTTGACAATTATATTATACATGATGATGCAACAAATTACTGAAAACTATGCTGCAAAGATGCTGTATAATAAATAAACTAATATTTTAAAACCAAGGAGAAAAGAAAGTCACAGGCAAGAGTAAAAACAGAATTCTATGTTAATGTATGTTTTATATGAACCTTGTGTTTTGTTTAATTAGCCAATCTGTGATTGAAACTTTCTTCCAAAGTGAACGTGCACATCTCTTAATATTGCCCTATTTCAGACACATTAATCTGTTTTTACTTTTTAAGCTGTCTGACCAACAGAGCAACACAATGATATCTGCTGGATTCAGATTAGGTTTCGAAAGTGATTTTGTAAGATCAATATTTTGAGGTTCTGTACTGATAGTGTTTAAATGATTCCCAGGTTAGATTGCCTTAGTTTACAAGTACAGGCAGTCCCCGGGTTACGTACAAGATAGGGACCGTAGGTTTTTTCTTAAGTTGAATCTGTATGTAAGTCGGAACTAGCGTCCAGATTCAGCCGCTGCTGAAACTGACCGCCAGTTCTGACTTACATACAGAATCAACTTAAGAACCCCAAGCGTCCCCAAGTCAGCTGCTGCTGAAACTGATGAGCGCTGATTCCAGGAAGCCTGGGGCAGAGCAACTCTGCCTCGGGCTTCCTGTACTCAGCGCTGGTCAGTTTCAGCAGCGGCTAAATCAGGACGCCTGGGGCAGAGCAACCTTGTGAGGTTTGACAAACTGGGAAAGGAATTTTTTAATGATGGTTTTTATTCTGACATATATGCTCAAAAAAGTCCCCAAAACAAAGAAATTGTATCAGTAAATATGTGATGGGTGATGTTGTCTTAAGTTACCGAGTAGAAATTGTATAGAAGTAGTCCCTTGTAGTCCAAGTCCCATTGTACTAGGCACGGTGCATACATATCGTTACAGGATATCATGACCATCCAAGGGCCTGTCTACACATGGAGGCTACGTCTACACTGGGACTCTTTTCTGGAAATGCTTAAAACGGAACAGTTTTCTGTTATATGTATTTCTGGAAAAAGCGCGTCTACATTGGCAGGATGCTTTTCCGGAAACAGTGCTTTTCCGGAAAAGCGTCCGTGGCCAATGTAGACGCGCTTTTCCGGAAAAAAGCCCCAATCGTCATTTTCGCGATTGGGGCTTTTTTGCAG